GCATGCTTTGCGTGATGGGCAATGCTCAATATTTCATCCACAAGGCTGCCCATGGCCGAGTATGTATCCATTTTTGATGTATTTCAATCTATCCCCCCCCCCCCCCCCCCCCAACACACACGCGCGCANCTCTCTCTCTTCAATCAGGGATAATTACTAAGTATATTGATTAACTATGATTATTTGGCAGCCGAAGCATATTGGAAATGACGTTTGGGACGTGGCGATGGAGCGACGGGACAAGAAGATGATAGAGATACTCTCTTCATCTCCTAATTAACCTACACCTTTTTGCCTTGGTACTCTTCTTTCATTTTTTTTTCCCTGTACATTTAATCTTATTATGCGTTTAGACTGAATGTCTTTGTTGCGGGTTATTTCTAGATGGTTATACTTGGTATTAACAAACGAATTTGATGTGCAAACCTTACCCAAAATCTTTGCCTTCTAGATCCGTGAATTTACTGGCTGATTTTATTGCTATCCCCTGAAGTTCTATATCACTTTCACTTGCACTCGCTAGAATTGCATTATTTTAGTATTTGAACTCTAGGTTGCCAATTTATGGCCTTGAAGCAGTGGTATAGCTACTGAGTGGCTGCTTAGAATGGATGAATTATGTAAGTAATTATGACTGCAAAGCATAATAACACATGCAAGTGTCCGGCTTCTACTAGGGAGGTGCTTAGCATTCTACAAACTATGAGATAGGAAATTATGGAGGGCATGGAAGGTCGAGTGAGAGAAGACTCAGAGTCACTTATCTACACAATAAATGGGGTTTAGCATTGTACTTTGGGGTAATTAAATGACAATCCGTGGTCGCTTGATTGAACTTCAAAATCCTGACAACATAAGATTTTTCTAGCTCTTTTATCCATCCAGCTTCTTAAAGATTGCTTGCTGCCCCAAAACAGCTGTACTACTATGAGTGATATGGAACAATATTTGTGTAAAGTAATCAAACTTTATGACTCTTTCTAACGATTACAATGAGCCCATACTTGTTATGAAAATAATTGAACATTGGATGTCTCCTTAGGCATTTGTGTACTGGTTCTTGCGGAGAAGGTTTAGTGAACCACTCACCACTGTTTTCATGAAATGCCACCCTGGACGGCTGGACCTGACAGACCATAACTACCTTTATGGAGATTCTTTCTTCTCCTTCCTCTTCTACTTAGCCATTGCCTACCCCTTTTTTTGTTGGTACTCCTTTTTAATATTTCCTTCTCCATTCATTGCATGGCATGCACAATTAAGCTGGTTCGGTTTTTCAGTTGGTTATTTAATAGCTGAGCACGGATTTGATATGCAACGTTATCTCAGGTCTATGCACTCTGCATTCGTTGATTTACTGGTTGTCATTGCTAGTCCCCGCAATTTCTATTTCACTTCCACTTTAGGCACATGCATAGACTTTTTTTTGCATTTAAAATTCAAAATGTATTAACATTTGATCATTATACTGCCAGTTTATGGACTTGAATCATGAGAACTTGCTGCTGCTTGCAAGCTGCTTAGATGAATTACATTAGCAATTCATGTCCTTGAAGCTGTAATCATGCAAGTGTCTGGCTGCTACTAGGCAGCTGCTTAGCATTCTATAATCAGTGAGATAAGAAATTATGGAGACATGGAATGTGGACTGAGAGTCACTTATCCTTACAATAAATAGGATTTAGTGTTTTACTTTGGGCTGTGAGATAACAATTTGTGGTAGTTTGATTGGATTTCAAATTTTAAAACTTAAAGACTTTGCGAGCTCTTTTATCCCTCCTGCTTCTTAAAGATAGAGATGCGTGCTTGCTGCAAAAACAGCAGTACTTCCACGAGTAATATAGCAAAATTAACTGGTATGTTTACAGTAATTGAACTTTATGACCCTCTGTAATGATGAGAATGACCTCATATTTGTCATCAAAATTATTTAGCATTGGATGTACTCCTTGGGCATTTGTGTCATATGGATTTTTAGCCAAGAAGATGTTGATGAACTACTCACCACAGTTTTGATGAAATGCCATCCTGAGCCCGACCGTAACTATCTTTATGGGTTTTTCCTTCTTGTTTTGGGAGAAAATGAAGTTATGAGAAGGTTATTTGAAAGTTTAATTTCACAGGTTTTTTAATTTTTTGTTTTTTAAAGAGAACATTTAATTAATACCTAGGATGGGATTTATGGTCTGACCTACGGTTCTGGTCCAGTTTTTACAACCATGACTGATAAAGTAACAGTAAGCCACCGTTCGGAAAATTTATAAATGGTTTATACAGAGGAATAGTAGTAGGTCCCATGAAATGTGTCAATAATAATGAGTAGTAGTGATCAATGTGCGATTGAAATTCATGTTTGACTTGGATTGAATTTATAAACCAATTATAAATTTGTATCCAAATGGAGGATAAGTTTTTGGGAAGGTACAACTGAATGCTTCATTTGTTTTCCATCATCAGAAGCCAAGTGTTATAAAATACTAGGAACTCTTGCTGAAGACCTTTATACAAATACACTCCGTGTCATCTTTTCAACACCAATGGAAATTAGACTCTTTGTTTTCTTTGAAATTTCTTTCAACTACATAATACCAATTAGTTGCATTGAAATTGTGAATGATAAGAAAAGGTGGAAATGACTGGATGAAAATATATAGATGCACATTTCCAGAAATATATTGTTAATTGAGCCAAGCCCGCTTTATGGTACTGGAAGAGATTCAGCAAAATAACGTTGTAAACTTACCTTTTATCTATCAGTTTTGGGGAACCTTTTAAAATCTTGAATGCCTTCTTTCTTGAAGTTGGGCTAGATGAAAGTTCAATAGGTGTTGCCCGATAATGACCTCAGGGTTGAGAGGTGGTTTAAGTGCTCATAGTTTTTTTCTGACATGTTACTTTTCTGATTATTTTTTATTAACATCGTTATTCAGTGTAGTCTAGCTCATTAAATACAAGCTTTATGGAATATGGCTCTTGCTGCAATTGAGCTTTCTTTCTTTTCTTGTTCCTGTCATTTTCTTTTGTATCTGTTTTTTTCTGATTTCTGAGTATAATTTTCAATCTTCTTTGTTGACTATTACTATATTTTCTTAGTGAAACGTCATCACTTTGCTTTTTCTTATCTCATTTGTGGTGATGCAGGAGGACTGTATTCAAGGGCTTGCTAGAAATAAAATAATTTTCAAGGTTCCTAGTCAATGGACTTGTTTACGAACTCGGAACTCCCAACTTCTCATTCTTCTGTGCCACGTGTAGCTCTGCTGTTCAATCTCTCATCTCTAGAACAATGCATGGAAAATGTCGAGTTTAATTATTGATGTTGCCACTGGTCTGTGATAAATGCCTAGATGATATTTGAATTCTAAAATATTTATCTCGTATTCATATTTCACGAATTTTTTTTTTGGGCACTTGAGTAAACTAAAACGTTGAAAAGTAAAACAAACGTGGTGCTATTCTAAGTATAAATGAAGAAAAGATGCAACCTTGAAATTTGCATTAAAATAGATTTACCTTGGAAGGGAGGGCAAGATAATGTGCACTCTTCCACATTTTCTTATACACGATGGTCATCTAATGCTGTTATTTTCTTTATGCACGTGCACGACCACCTCCCTGCCCCTAAGCTTGGATCTGCATATTGGTATAAGCTAAATAGAGGGTATGGTACGAACCTATTATGTTTTGTCATGATCTTCAAATGGAAGTTGTGGATCACATGAACAGATATTTATGAATCTAATGGTGACATCACGAAAGAAACAAAATTTTGAAGAGTTGTGGTTGGGTTGTGTTATATTCGATAATATCCAGACACTTAGATTGTTTGCATATATTGTATGAAGATTTAGTTTTCTTGCCTGGGGCCACATGAATATCAATGTCGTTTTGAATCTGTTTGATGGTTAGTAAATGCTTTGTGTTCAATACCATTATTGATTGCAAATTGATTTCCAAATGGTCATTTATAAATGTAAAGGTTAGTTGTACCAGCATTGTTTGGTTCTTGAGAACAAGTTGTCTTTTTGCCAATATGTAAATGATTCAGTTCTCCAGTGGAGAATTTATAGTTCATTTATAATATTTATTCTCTATTTGGAGGTTGGTAATATAAAGAAAGACAGCCTGATTTAGTGGAATTCATATTTATTGAATCATTAAAGAAAGAATTCTATTTTTATATTTTGGATTGTCTTTTGTTTTACTTTTGTGGGTGGCACGACAAGCATGGGATAGCCACCCCTCTGTCAAAGAATAAATGGAATAAATGATATTTTGGCCTGTCTTTATCAAAAAGCATAGAGGAAAAGGATTCCTTTGTAGAATATGGATTCGATTATTAAATGCCAGATTCACACTAGAAGATGCAACCCGACCGACGAGCGTGATGGAGGATTGGACTCACTTGGCCTGTGGTGCGAAAATGTAGCCTTCGACCAGCCGTGCCGTGGTCCAGCCCGACCCATTTGGTCCCACCCACTATACTAAATACAAGAGTTAATGCGAACAGTAGATGAAGCTCTTGACTATATGACAACATTAACATTCAACCCAGCAAAACTGAAAAATGTAGTTGTCCAATTACTCCTCGGAAGAGACTTTGAAGGTACTTAAACTAAAGTCAGTCGGTCAGTCGGTCATCATTGACTAGCCAAAAGAATAAAGAGACACAAGCTATCATCAAGAACAGCCAAGAAAGAGAAAAAGGGCCATTAAAATTTTTATTATTTGTAAGTTGAACACAAAATTCATCAACAGATATAATCAAGAAATCACTCCGGTAACAACCTAAATACACACAACAAATAATCATTAAACTATGGAAGGTTGTTGAGAGAGGTTACAGATTATTATTTACACTAATAACCGTGAATTCCTCAACCCATAACCTGCAACTACCAAGGACAAGAACAAAACAATGTACTGGACACCAAGAAAAATAGGTGCAATCAGAAGAATATTCAAGGGCATGAATATGAATACTTATGTGGACGAACAAATTAAGGCACATACTCAGTCTCGAGGGTTGGTTGCGTCCTCGTCACTGTGGCTGCTGGTGCCATTGTGCTTCCAACCCTAGTCATTTCCAATGACTCCCCAACCTCTGCAGCCCTCTCCATGTGCTGCATTTTCTTTGCCTTCTTATACTTGTAGGCCAACAGCACTAGAAGTCCTAAAATAACCAATAACGCCAATCCTCCTAGCACTGACCCAACGATAATCCAGACCTTTGAATTGTTCTTCTTTCCATGGCGACTTGGTACTGGTGAAAGAGCAGTTGACTCGACCACAATAGAGAAATGCCCCTGTTGGAACGTTGTACATGTCTTGTCTGGTAATACATCACTGAAATCGAATGTGCCATTTAAATCAAATGAAACACACTTAGGAACTGGCCCCTCAGGCAATGATTTAATATCCGAAAACTTTATCGATATGGGCTGACCAGACGCATTAATACGAAGCGCTTGCAAGTTTTTGGCCATCAGGTCTGAAGCATTATAAGCTAGAAGACCCAATACAGGAGCTAAATACACGTAACCAGGAGGAGGATGGTAAACTATAGACCAATTCCCCAAGTTTTGGTACACCAAAACAAGCCTTTTAACATACGGCTTCTCGACTATGCCCATAGGAATCTCAAACTCTTTGTACATGCCAAATCCATGTCTCCTTAAGCTACCACTCCTTAGCCTCATTGCTGAAACCATAATCCCTGTTAAATTAGAGGGTACAACTCCATCATAAACACGACCGGTCCTGGTCCTAGGGCGAACAAGTGCCCGATAAGCATAGTCTTGGAGGAGTGCATCTAGTGCCCGAGCACTACCTGTTGAATTAGTTTGAGCCGTGACAACTCTCAGAGAGCAAAACAACAGTATCATGAGAAGAAGCATCGTGAGACTTCCAAGAAGTCCCATTCGATGCTTCACAGTATTTAAGAATCAGCGAGAATCAGCAAAATGTCAATCAATACAAACCAAAGTCACCCAGGAAAGTGTTGGCAATTATACTTAGATCCAGAATAAGTAAGAGAGCATTACTAATATCTAAAGATTTCCCAAATTGGTTCATCCAAAAACAGGCTTCACAATTACACCTCACGGACTTCAACAATTGATATATTTGCCAAGAATCTGATTCTTCATTCATTAACAAACGGTAAACTGTGTATCAAAAGATTCATATATCTTGTCTTGAACGGCAAAGCAAGTAGAGACGAGAAGCTTTGAACCGTTGCGAAGCAGCAGAGTCAGTGAAGCACTTTTTTTAACCCTTTGGATTCTTTGTTCTGAAAGAGACCTTCAAAAAAAGAACACCATTTTCTTCAATTATCCGTCAAAAGTAGTTTTAATAACCAAATTGCTTTTAGATTCCTGCCCTTCTCAAACCCAATAACAGATGATTGATTACAATATTCGTGCCAATGTAGATTATTTTCCTTGGTCAAAAAGGAAAGAAAATAAATAATTACTCCTTTTTCCAGATAAAAAAAAAAGTACCTTATTTAGTACAGTTTTAATACCCTAAATACCAGCTCGGAGAAATTCAGCAATGCCGACTATACAAACACCACACGCGCTGAAATAGCTGGAAAATGATGATCTAATGCACTGTTTCTCTGCTTCAATTCCAACAATAAGCCAACTGAAGGGTCTGAAAACTGTCAGCTTGGCAATTTCCTCTCAAGATCCACCAATTTCTTATACTATAAATGAATATACACTACCAAAATAACAAAAGCGTTTCACTTCTACATACATATTTATAATTTATCCCGCAAATTTCAACATACATAGAAGCATGCTACTTGTATATTTAGAGAGAGAATCTATTCGAATCCCTATATATATAGCCCTGTATGTATGTGCATATTGTGCTGTGTGAGAGATAAGCTTGAAGATCGAGTAGTGGAGACTGGTGAATGAACGGACAGTCGCTAACAGAGAGAAAGTTTTAGAGAGAGAAAGAGGGTGAGTGAGTTGTTTGCCATGTGAATGAAGAGATAGAGAGAGAGTATTAGTTACTGTACTATAAAAATAAAGTGAATAGATTAGGTTCTCGGACTCGCTTTCCTTTATCGTTTATTCCAAATTTTAAATTACTTTTTTCATTAAGGGTACAGTTAATTTCTTTATTTTTTAATATATTTTCATTTAATGTATATTTTTATCAATAAATATAAATCGTTAAAAATAAAAATGATAATATTTAATTTATTTTGTCAACCTTTGAAAGTTATGAATTTTTGTGAAAATTATTTATTGATTTGTATAAAAAGAATGAGAGTCTTTCATATACCTACGTGGATTTTAATTTAAATAATATATAACTTTCTAAGAATTTCATCTAATATAGAAATCACTTAGGCCATGTTTGATAGCCTCTATTTTTCTTGGAAGTTGGAATTTTTTTTTCCATTTTTCACATTTTTAGTTGTTTGATAGGTATAATTTTCTTGAGAATTGATTTTCCACTTTGGATGCTCACGTGGCCCATTTTCTTAAAAATTAATGAAAAATTTTTTCCCACCATTTTGGTGGGAAAAGTTTTTCCACGCTGCTGTTGCATTTTTTTTTTATTATTATTATTTGCAATGAAAACAAATGTCATAACCAATTGTAAAAAAAAAAAAATTAATTTAGTCGACAATTTCCATATAAAACAAAGAAAAACAAACACTAAACTTTGATGAAATAAATGATTTTTTAGAAATTTTTTTTTATAAAACAAATAAAAACAAACACTAAACTTTTATGAAATAAATGATTTTTTTTAATTTTTTTTTTTTTTACTTTTTGGCAATGGAAACAAATTTTATGACTAATTGCAGAAAAATTTATCACTTCAATAGACAATTTTCATATAAAATAAAGTCAAACGAATACAAAAATACCAATCAAACATACTTAATTAACAATTTCTTATAAAACAATTTCTAGACAATTACTTTCCCTGGAATTCATTTTCTTTCCACTCATTTTCCACCATTGCAATCAAACGGATTCTTAAATCTAGAGTACAGAGGTTCGATCTCCATCATTCCTTCTCTTCTCATATAATAAAAAATTTTAAAAACCCTAATTGGATAAATAAATAATCAAAATACAAAAATATGTGATATTATGGTACTATTTGATGAGAAAATAAAGGAATCTCTAATGTTTATTATTATTAATATGAACGATCAATCAATATATTTAAAATTTTATTACAAATTAGTCTTATTTTATATATAAATTTTAATTAAAAATTGATCTTTTTTTAAATAGAAAATTGGATGAAAAAAGAAGAGACGAAAAGGTTTTAAGAGTTTTTAATTACATTTTCATCTTTTGGAAGTGATGGAAGTGGTTAGAGAAAAACTAAGCGAAAACAAAACGAGAATAAAAAATAGTGAGGGCCGAAAAATGACTTGGGCAGTGGCTCAGGCTTGTGTTGCAGTTACAGTGGTTATTTTGTTGAACTGAGCGAGCACTCAGTTTGAACCCCCCAATACCAAAATTTGCCCGATGGAATTTCAAATTCTGGTATTGTTTTGATGGGTTTTACATCTTTTTAGCTTGATTTTTGCACATTTTCGTGCAAGATGATTGTAATCAAAGATTGAATAATTTCACTCACTTATGTAAAGTCAAATGAGAATTTGGTTGATCCGTTCACTAAACTGCTCGCATGGAAATTAGTGCGAGCAGCAACTAGTAGGATGTGATTAAAATTCAGTAATTAACTTCGGGTTTATAGGGTAACAACAAATCATTCAACAAGTGGATATATTCAACACTTATTTTTTTCTTTTAAACCTTATCCTAGGTTACAAATGCTGGTTGTCACGAATAGGAGGATTAAATTTCTATAACTCTTAATAAAGTTCAGATCGATGGATCAAGTATCTAATATTGACAAAGATATTGCAAGATTTTTACCCATATAAACTTTGAGGTGGTGCTGCTTCAATAGAGAATTGGAGTTTCTCTCTTAAAAGTTTATGAATAGGAGAAGTGCAAGACCATAAAAGTGTTAAACGAGATTGTGTGGAACTTGGAACACTCGATGTTGTGTGTATGATTTCACCGGTATCATCGTAAGGAATAATGAGTTTAAAAACTTTCATGCTACCTAAGATTTCGATGATCACTTTGTGAGATTTATACTAAGATTGAATTTAAATCGAAAGACATCAATACTTTATGCATAAGTGTCGTTAAACTTAAATTTGCACTTATTTTGTATTTGACCGAGTGAGGAATTGTTGGATATTGTTCAAATTAACAATGAAGAATGATTTTGGAAGTGGTCAACCATGAAGAAAAATAAGTGAATAAAACAAGAACAACAGATGGTGAAGGCCAAAAAATGGCCTTGATGGCTGCCTGGCCTTATGTTGCAATTACAATGTTCATTTTATTGAACTAGGTGGGTGCCCTGGCCGCCTAGTACAAAAATTTTTCCGTTGGAATTTTGAATTTTTATGTCATTTTGAAGGGTTTTACACCATTTTGGCTTAGTTTTTGCACATTATCGTATATGGTGACTTTGTGTGTGTGTACACCAGGTTTAAGTAACGTGCAATGCACGTTTACTTAGTTTATATATAATTTTTTTGGTTAAGAATTAAATTTTTTTTAATAAAGATATAATTTTTTGGTTAATTAAATAACTAACATGTAATGTTTATGTAATTGACAAATAATTACACATTGTGATATATTTAAAAAAAGAGCATTAATAAAATATATAGCATAGTCCTATAAATAGACATCGCTCCTAGTTTTATAAAAGTTGTTTGAGATAATTTTGATTCTAAGATAATGATTCAGCATTTTCCTCATCTTGCATTGTTTCAATAGAGAGGACATTAAATTGCCTATATTTTTTCTCCTTTACTTTCTCTAAATCTACATAAACTTGAATCTTCCAAATTTCTTTTGATAATTTCTCTGCAACGCTTTTAACATATGGTCGATTTTCCTACAAAATAAATTTGAATAGGTTTACATAATAAATAAAAAACCCAATTATTTTTTAAATAACTCATTATAATAAAAATCAAGTTTTGAAGAAAAATTTAAGAAATACCTCTCCAACATGTCCCATCAATTCAATTGTTGAACAACTAAGTTTCTGTTCTGCTACTTCACCAAGCAAAGTAGCAGCTAGTTTTCCAGTATTTTCGTCTAATTCAACATATCTCTTAGCACTTTAAATGCGTTGAATATATTAATTTTAATTTGAATGCTATTAAATTCTAAATTAAAATTAGACATCAATTTTAAATTAAAATTGTAAGATACATAACTTGGTTTGCAGACCCATTGACTTTTGCAATATATACAAACGAAGTTTTCATTGTATTTATATTAAATTTCTTTATTACAGTCAACGCATGACATGTAATAAAATATTTGAGCAAACTCAATCACATTTATCTTCTCCTATATCAAAAATTTTGCTTTTTACATTAAATCATAATCAATTTTTAGAATGAATATTAGTGTAAAGACAAAAAAGTGTATAAGTTTGTGTTTCGTACTATTATATTATATCAAATTTCGCACTTAATCGTGAACATTTTGTACATAATAAAATAATAGATAACATTACAATACAAAACTAAATAAATAAATATTTTTTCTTCATTAAGTTCAATGTACCTTACCAAATAAATTATTAGCATTTTTAAATTGATAATTTCCACGTCCATTTTGTTTTTTTAGTTTAATTTTTTTCTAATGACTAAAATGTAGTAGTACAAAGCTTTTAATATCCAGTTTTAATTAATTGAATATTAAATAAATGATTTAACATCCACTGTCACACATGCATTCCTTGATATTAATTACAAATTAATTAACATTCACACATATTCAAGTATTTCTTTTACAATATTTATAAA